AGCCCCCAAAAATAAAGTCTGCCACTGTTTCCACTGTTTCTCCATCTATTTGCCATGAAGTGATAGGACTGGATGCCATGATCTTAGTTTTCTGAATGTTGAGTTTTAAGCCAACTTTTTCACTCTCCTCTTTCACTTTCATCATGAGGCTCTTTAGTTCTTCTTCGCTTTCTGCCATAAGGATGATGTTATCTGCATATCTGAGGTTACTGATATTTCTCCCAGCAATCTTGATTCCAGCTTGTGCTTCATCCAGCCCAGCATTTCTCATTATGTACTCTGCATATAAGTTAAATAAGTTACCAATTGGGCTTTGCTTTCAAAGACACAACATGTATTATTTTTGTATCAGGGAAATATTAGTAATTCTTGACAGTAACTAAGTATACGATCATATATGCAATGCACTGGCAAAGTCTATTAACACTCAAAACTAAAATTTTCTTCATCTATGAATAATGCATAAATTTCTCAGTTTGGACCACACATTGAAGAGACTTTAGGAAATACCTCACCCAATCCATACAGTTCACCCCTGCTGCTCCAGAGAAGGTATTTGCTTACCCACATTCCCATTTTCCAAAATCTGGGTATGTGGGCAGCACTTCCACAATCTTTGTTATATATACTTATCATAAATATAACACTTTAGAACTCTTAAAACATTAAAACAAATTTACTTTCAAACGGAAATTCTAACATGCATTTTTCTAATACACATTAAATAAGTACATAAAATGTTTATATAAGAATAAAACACATTATCTAAGTCTCAGTGAAACTAAAAATAGTACTCTGGTCTGTTTTGTGACACATGTGACCAGAATAGGAAAGCCATTGTAGTGGATGCCCTAGGTGTCTCACTTTTTGGCCTCCTCATTCCCAGATGAGCAGAGCTGTTAGTTTTGCTGCTATAGATATACTAACAAGTAATGAGAACCCTATGATTTAAAACATTATACCCGGGTTTATAATAAAATGTTTCGATTTTATTAAAATTTCAATCATTTCAAAAGCAAACTTTTACATGGATAAAGGGAGAAAGGGAAGGTTGGAAAGAATTTTATAAACAATATCTTAGAACTTCACATGACTTCATCCCATTTCTGAAGTAGTTTCATAATTTGAACTTCATAATAAGCCAATGAGATAAGAGAAATGTATAGGATCATAGAATTATTAGTATCATTATTTGAAGGTCAATAAGATAAACCAGTGTTAAAACAGGATTAAGAGAAGCTGGGTCTTTCTTCAAGATATAACTACAATATCACCTTTTTTTCTTTATTGATTGAAATTAGTAAATAAGTGATTTAGACTAAATGAGAACAAAGTTCTGCGTTTTAACCCAAAATCACAATTTTTAAGTGATTTTTAAATTGGACAGTAACAACATAAAGCAACAAAACACTGAACAGTGTAAATTACTCCTGAAAATCTCCAACTATTTTCTTTCTGTAGATTGTCTTCCAACTGGCCCACATACTTAGTTTGCACGGCTGTTATTTTTCTTTTTTCCTTCTAGTGTATCATATAATCTCTTTTACGATTACCCCAATTTACAAATAAGGTAACAGATCAAATGATCTGTCCAAATTCATGTATACAGTTAGGAAATAACAGAACTGGGATTAGAACCTAGGTCTTTTTGCATGTTATGAAGTTTTTTCTATTGTACCATATTGTCTTAGACAGAAAGAGGTCTCCATTAAAAAAAAGTCCACAAAAGTCTAAACTTAAGATATGGGTCAATTAAGATGCAATCCTTTAGTTTATAGAAAGATTACCACCACAGAAGTCCTATAAATGTTGAAAATTTCCCTTCTGCATAATCAGACTTAGTTTCTAGCCTCCAGGAGCTCACGTATCATTTGCAATTTAACAGAAATCTTAGAGAAGAATGTATACTTAGAGGAATAGGATTTTGGTCAACATCAAGTCAATTGGAAAAGAAAAAAAAAAAGACATCTCGGAAACTGTAACGTGATCCAGCGGACAAAAAATAACTGAAGTTAAAAACAAGCCCACAGAAGCACATCTGCAGCCTACAGTGCTCCTGTATGCAGTTATATGACCTGTTTATATAAGAAACCTCAGGGTATGAAGCACAATTACAAAACACTGCTCCAGCTTTCCATAAGCACAGATGCAGTGGAAAAGCAGCCTGCTTTCAAGACCATGCCTGCCCAAGTTCCATACTGGAAATTGTATATGATTTTAAAAAATCTGCCCTGTGGTTCAGGATTTAAGACAAATGTTCTTGAAATATGGTACACTGTCAAACTGCATCAAGAAAAGGTGCTTGCTAAAAATTAAGATTCCTGAGTCTCAATCAAGACTTACTAAATCAGAATGTCCCGGGGATGGTTTGGGACCTGTTTTTTTTTTTTTTTCTAAAACAAGTTCTCTCAGTGATTGATAATACAACACTAAAGTTTAAAAACCACTGAGTTGAGGAGATATTGGATACTTCAGAAAATTAATTTTTTAGCCTCTCATTTTGACGTTCCTAGAGCCCAAGTTTTGTTTCCCACCCCCCATGATCACTTAAAATCAATCACAGTTTGGGTGTTTATCGAATTACAGTAAAACACACTAAGATGTTGAGGAGCCATCTCAGTGAGCTTAGGGTTCATTTCCATCATAGATCCAGCTCACCAACAGTATTAACATCAAGGGGGTAGTGGATATCTTTCAATGGATGTAGATGAGTATAACAAAACTCTGAGAAAGGTAGAAGCAGCCCAAACAAGCTCACAAAACGAGTTTTGAGAACTAAGTTACAGGTTAAAAAAAAAAGGTATTATACAACAGCATTTCCTAGAATAGACAGAATGTCCTAGCCTATTGATTCTGCATCCATTTTCTTTACTAGCAAGATAAAGAATGAATAAGGTGATGTGGATCTCTGATTTTAGCTACAGCTGTTGTCTGGTTTCTTAAAAGAATGAAGAGATAGTCATACATCGTATCTATTTTTATTTCAGGTGCGGTGTAAGTAAACATCCTAAGTTTGGGGGTAAAAAAAGTCTTCATCGGCAATATTAGCTTACATAATGACCCTCCAGGGCTGGTTGCTCTGTGCATTTATTTCTGGCTGATAAGTTGAAGAATTCAAAGAACAAAAAAAGGTGATAAATACACAAACCATCAATACTGAGATGATAAATCCATACATACTTCAGGTTAGGAAAGTAGCATAATATTACTTAAGTTACTTATCATACTGAATTTATATAATGTCTCTAATCATCCTCAGGTATCAACAGAACTTTTACAAGACTTGTAGACTAAAATTGCCATACTTTGTAGATTTTTGTTAAATTCACAGCTGAGATTAATATACCCTGAGGTGGCAAGACAAAAATGTATAATAAACACTTTCTGGATGTTGTAGTTATAATACCAAGAGTAACGATAAATAAGTCACAAGTAGCGACTGTTATTTTATTTCTTGGAAAAGCGTTAAAATCAAAATAAAATTAAGTTTATTAAAAGCAGAACTTTTTTAAACTAAAACTTCAATGCTTAAAAATAGGATCACCAAGCAGCATTTATCACATATTTTTATTTTGTTACGTGACTCTGTAAAAGTTGCTTTTAAAAGAGATCCACAGACAATGAGCAACTCTAGAAATACAAGAAGTTAGAGAAGTGAGAACCAAACCAGAAAGAAGAATCTGAGACATTGGACAATGAATTCCTTGACCTTTCAAAACCTCTATCTCTCAAGAGAAAAGCCCGTGTCTTTTGGCAGAGCACTTCCACACATCCCACGGCTAACCACCTGTTTCTAGATAGAGAAAAGTTAACTTTTCCTGGTAGTAAAATAAAATTTGTTGGGTGCCTGCTACAACTACACATATCTCAGGAGTTTTAGACAGTTACTTTTTAGACACAAAGAAAGAACCATCTGGATAAAACATCTCATTTCTTTGTCTCAAGAATCCTGAGGGGTTAGTAGTATTATCTTCAATTTACAATTGAGAAAATTCTAGTTCAAAGGTAAAATGACTGTCTAAGAACACCAGTGGTGAGATTCGAACATAAGTTTTATTCTGAAGCCCATACTTTCCCCCAAAATGACTGTCTAAGAACACCAGTGGTGAGATTCGAACATAAGTTTTATTCTGAAGCCCATACTTTCCCCACTATGCTGTGTTGACTTCCATGAGTTTGTGGACCCAATGATAGACACAGTCATCCCTCAGTACTGGATGCTCAAGTCCCTTATATAAAATGGTATAATACAGTAAGTGCTCTGCATTTGCATGTTCAATCAACTTTGGATCAAATTTCAGTCTGAATATGGAGGACTGACTCTATGCTGGGACTGTTTTAAGGAGCTTGATTTGCAGGCCCAGAAGGGTTTTACCAAAAGCATTCATACTGGGAAGAGATTAACATCTTTCCTGCAAAGAAAGTCAGGATGGAGTCTCAAATGTATGTATTAAGGGCCTACCATGCATCAGGGTCTGGGAATATTGTGGTTGATCGAGACACAAGGTCCCTAACCCTCAAGGAGCTTACAATCTAATGAGGGAGATAAAGACATTTACCAGCCAACAAATGTGTTTCAGATAGTGATCAATGTTTTGAAAACACAGGGCAGGAAGCAGGCAAGATGGATAACTGCGGAATGCGACCGCTGTTGAAGAGTGTGGTCAAGGCAAGCTTCCCTGAGGAAGGAATGTTCCTGTTAAGACACAAGTGAAGAGGAAGAGGCAGGAACATCCTGGATGTGTTCAGAGATCAGCCAGAAAGGCCAGCGAGGCTAAAATGAAGAGACTCAGAGCATGGCAGGTGAGGTCAGGGAGGTGAGCAGGGCTGCATCCTGGGAAGCCACATCCAGGGAAGGGCACGCCTCCAGAGCACTGCACAGGGGAGTGGCATGCAGGTGGCCATGGCTGCTTTTGGACAAGAGAGATGGCAATATGTTGGCATAGCAGGTTCGCAGTTCAACAGCTATGCCAGCATCTTGCCTCCTCTCCAGTTCCAAGTTACAGGAGCAACACCACGACTCTTCGGTGTTTTGCTTTTCCAAAGTCTTCCCTTCCACCTGAGGGAGGCAAAGCACACTTGTTAAGGGGAAATGCAAACTTGTTTCTGAACATTACAGCACAAGTCTTAGAGCATCGGATTTTGAAGGTGTAGTTTAAACATAGGAAGGTTGTGGCCTAGTTTCTTTTCTTTCAAGGCCTTTGATCAAAAATGAGAACTGAGAATATTTACTGACTGCTTATGAGACAACAGGGGTGGTGGGGAGGAATTCTGACAAAAATTTTAAGCCAGTTAAGTCTAAAGTTGATGACAGTTAATTATGGGTGAATACCACTATATCTACAGCCCAAGGTACATTCCAGTGGCTCTGAGTACAGTTTTATTTTTTACTCTAATAACTCTATTGGTCAATTCCTGCCACTTAGATGTACTCAAACGATAACAATCTGTCACCATGCTATGTGTAGTTCACTGCTTTATGTGCTCTTAAAAATAGGGCCCCTCTGAGCCAATAACTCCCAGCTGGCAACGTAATCCAGTGCATTTCCAAAAGCACCACTCTATGTGCAAAGATGTTCACTGAAACACTGTTTTTAATAGCCAAAGAACTAGAAACAACCTGAATGTTCATCAATATGACTGATATTGGCTAAATTATGACTATAAATTATGATATAGTCTCATGATCATGTATTTTATCATTCTTACAAAAGATCATAGCATAAAAATAATGATGTGGTATATGAGAACTTTTGTGTAAGTGAAAAAGTATGCATAATCACATACATAGCCTGGGGTGTACATATAAATTTCTTCTTGAAGGGTACACGAATGCTTTATTATTTTAAATAACGTTTATTATTTTAAAAGTAATCAGATGACAGCATTATTTAGTTTTCTTCTTTATATACATTTCTGATAAATATTATTTACCAAAAAATGAATCTAAGATATACCCACGTAAAGATAAAACATTCAGCTGCACAGTGCTACCAAGGTACAGCTAAGAAAGAATCACGCTCACTTAAACTTGATTAATATCTACTGCATTTGCCAGAAACAAAGCTCATTGTTTCCTAAGTCTGAAGCTAGGTATATTTACACACGTTCACTTACATGTGTGCACTCTGTGGTATGCATTTCTAGTGGGAGGACAGGAGGTAATGAGGGTTCTATTGCACAAGACCCTGTAAAAATGGTCCTGGGGCTAGGGAACTGGTGGAAGAGGTACTAACTGAAATTCTAGATTACAATTCAAGTTGACTATGATCTATTAATGTAAAGGTATTTAGGAATTTTTGGTTCATCAAGCACAGAACATTAGTTCAAAATTAATGGTAAATACAATATAGATTAGGTTACAAAATGTACCACTGAATCAAGATTTAATTAAATCAAATTTCTCCCCACAGCCTAGTTTTTTAAGAATATTCCTAATATTCATAATTCAGAGGCAGATGTAGATCAATCATTTTAGAAGGAACACACAATGTATTTGAAAACAATAATTCTCTGTGACTTCTTCAGATTCATCTCGCACATGCAAAAGAAAACTGAATGTCAGCAACTATCTGATGTACCAGTCAGATACAGCAGATACCTGAGAATTCATACTGGCTGTTTTAAGTGAAGATCACTTCAAGGGAAAGATAGGATGATATAATAACTTGTCCTATGTTCCTCTTCCTTATTTATTTGCATTTTTTTTAAACAGGAAGAAATTTACTTTTGTAAGTTCTCAAATAATTGCCCAATTTATAATTTAAAAGTCGAGAACATGGGCATGTCCTTCTCCTGTTAAAGAAGCTGCTGCTTTTAAAAGTTGGGTCCTTTTGTTAATTTCTCTGATGTATCCAGGGAATATGGCTTCCATCAAACACGGGTAACAGGTACCTCCTCACCACATACACCTTAGACAAATTTCTTGCAAAAATATAGCCTAACCATGAATTATGTTACAACTGGAAAGCAGGAAAAATATTATGGGTACCTGATTATAGCCTTTAGCAGTTAAGGTTAAACTCTGAAAAATACTGTCAATGAAATACCCTGGAGAAAATGCAGGCCCTGTTTTTTTCCCTAAAAAAAGAAGAATAAAAATAATGTTTAAAAACACCTCAAACCTCCTAAACCTTTCAGTAGTAAAATTAAACAAAATAAAGTTTAAATTTTGGAATTTTCAAACTATTTTAACTAACTTTAAATTCATTTAAATGAATAATCTGATTTCATTTTGTGGATAACTGATTTACAACCACTCTGGCAGCAAATCCAGCACGTCTCAGACATGAGGGGAACAGCAGGCAGTTAGCTATACCAGCCCCAGTGAGTACTCAGATATAAAAAATGAGAACAACTCAATCACAGAAACCAAAAGAAAATGGTATAACTAATAATGTGGTTTTTTTCTTTTTTCTTTTCCAGAGCTGGAATACAGTCTACTTAACACTTCATTTAAAAAAAAAAAAGTTTTCTAAAAATGGCTGGAGGTGGAGGGCTGATTATGTATAAAGAGCTAGAATGTCCTATTTTTCAAGTACAGTATTATGGAAAAATTTGTGGTCCAATCAAGAACATCACTGGGAGAAAAAATAACATTCAGTGAATGTGTTGGTATTGCTTTTGGGAACAGACAACTTGACAGGATGTGCTTAAAGCTACTCCCCAATTGATAGAAGCCAGATGTGTGTCTGCCCTGCATCTGGGGAAAAGTCATACATATATATAATTACATATATATACACATTTATAGTTATATACATTTAATTATATATGATCATATATAATGATGTATAAAACCAGACTATATAAAATATGTAACTAAATATAAATAAATAAAAATCACATATTTTAAATTTAGAAATATTAATAAAACACAACAGAATATCTATATGAAGCATCAGAAACAACCCCCAAGATGCAACCACTAAATTAAAGAGGAACTGGCAGAAAGGGTTGGGTTTCTATTCCTTGCCCTCCCCACCAGCCTCTGGCTTTCCTGCTGGAAGATCTCATTCACCCCTCTGCCATCCCCTCCCACCACACACACACACACACACACAGACTGTGGCACCTACCAGGCTTGCTCTCCATTAAACACAGCCCCCCCCCACCCCACCCCATATTACAGTCCTCCATTTATTCCAAACTGCCTTTCCTCTTTGTGTAAGTTCTCTGTGGGAATGAGAAAAAAGAAATCTATCCCTTCCTTATACTGCAAATGGTTCAAAAGCTTAAGCTTTCAAGGGGACCAAACTTCTTTAGGAGACGGGTATTATACAAAATTAGTTTTTAGAAGATACGGAAGATGGTTTTAATAGGGGCATCATTATCCTACAACTTCTCGTATAAAATAGGCCAAGATTAAATCAACTACTCTTCTCCCAAATTCATATAAACACAGTGAGAAAAGAAGGTGTGGGGAGGAGGAGAGAAAACAACTCTCTTGAGGAAATGGTATGTACTTTACATTTTTCCCCTATTTAATCCTCAGAAAGGTGGGTTGTAGTGGGTATTATTATCCTCTATAAAAGACTGAGCTGAGGCTGAGAAAGTTTAATTATCTTCAATATATAGTCCAAAGTTAATCTACCAATAATTCTGTTACTTTAACATTTGTTGCGCATCTACTATACGCCAAGCCATATGCTAAAGACAGAGTGTTTGTCCACAGTGAGTTTCCCAAGCTCTGGGAGGGGTAAACCCGTATATATTTCAACTTAGTTTAGTTAAGTCCTATGATCAAGCTACACACAAAGTATATTAAGAGAAAACACGGCATTGTGACAGATTCAATCATGGCCTCAGTTCTCTCCATATTCACATCCTGGCCATGTAACTTTGCAGTACCCATTCTGACTCGAGTTACGTTAACAAGATAGGATGCAAGAAGAGCTTAAAAAGCACTGTGAGTGTTCTAGTTTCATTCTTTTACAAGTGGTTGACCAGTTTTCCCAGCACCACTTGTTAAAGAGGTTGTCTTTTTTCCACTGTATATTCTTGCCTCCTTTGTTGAAGATAAGGTGTCCATAGGTGTGTGGATTTATCTTTGGGCTTTCTATTTTGTTCCATTGATCTGTATTTCTGTTTTTGTGCCAGTACCACACTGTCTTGATGACTGTGGCTTTGGAGTAGAACCTGAAATCAGGCAGGTTGATTCCTCCAGCTCCATTCTTCTTTCTCAAGATTGCTTTGGCTATTCGAGGTTTTTTGTATTTCCATACAAATTGTGAAATTATTTGTTCTAGTTCTGTGAAGAACACTGTTGGTAGCTTGATAGGGATCACACTGAATCTATAGATTGCTTTGGGTAGTATAATCATTTTCACAACATTGATTCTTCCAATCCATGAACACGGTATATTTCTCCATCTATTTGTGTCCTCTTTGATTTCTTTCATCAGTGTTTTATAGTTTTCTATGTCTTTTGTTTCTTTAGGTAGATATACTCCTAACTATTTTATTCTTTTTGTTGCAATGGTGAATGGTATTGTTTCCTTAATTTCTCTTTCTGTTTTCTCGCTGTTAGTGTATAGGAATGGAACGGATTTCTGTGTGTTCATTTTCTATCCTGCAACTTTACTATATTCACTGATTAGCTCTAGTAATTTTCTAGTAGAGTCTTTAGGGTTTTCTATGTAGAGGATCATGTCATCTGCAAACAGTGAGAGTGTCACTTCTTTTCCTATCTGGATTCCTTTTCGTTCTTTCTCTGCTCTGACTGCTGTGGCCAAAACTTCCTAAACTATGTTGAATAGTAGTAGTGAGAGTGGGCACCCTTGTCTTGTTCCTGATTTTACAGGAAATACTTTCACTTTTTCACCATTGAGGATAATGTTTGCTGTGGGTTTGTCATATATAGCTTTTATTATGTTGAGGTATGTTCCTTCTATTCCTGCTTTCTGGAGAGTTTCATGTCAATGTATGGCAAAAACCACTACAATATTGTAAAGTAATTAGCCTCCAACTAATAAAAATAATTGGGGAAAAAAAACACAGGTGATAGATCATATATCAGCAAGTTACTTTGTTTTTCCATTTTCACTCATGTGTGAATTT